TTAAAAAATGTCTTCCGTAGATCTCGGTAACTTATATGCATGTTAAAGATTTTATCGAAATCGGTTCACGTTCTTTAATTTGATTTGTTACAACAAATTAAAGATCGCAAAAATCGCAGTTTCATCACGATTTTGACCAGAAACTACAAGAAATCTGCGGTTTTTAAAATCCTTCAGCGCCTGTAGCACGACTCTGGGTTAATCGATTTTGATCAAATTTTCAGCACGCGTAAGATCTACAAAAGGCATTTTTTTAAATTTTTGTTACAGGCTCAGATAAAAAAATTAAAACACTAGGGTTTTTAATTTTTCCTTTTCATTCCAAATAATAGCAATATTTACAAAAAAAGCTTTTATCCAACGTCTAATAGACTAGCCGTTCTATTATCTAAGAAAAATTTAAGTTACTTAGTTCAGTTTTGAAAAAGTTGTTGCATTTTAAAAGGTGCACCATCAATTCTGTGGGCCACTGTATGTAAGGCCACCTAAATATCTATCTTGATACAAAAAATATTTTGCATGCTCTTTGAATGATTTAAAAGAACCACTGTGTTGCAAAAAATATTTCTTTTCCGAGGTCATTCTTTTCGGAGCTTACAAGGTTACCGATGTTCTTTGCGTATAATTATATAATTTTTTTATTTCATGATGTAGCTGGCGTAAAAATACATCCAGATATGTAAATGACATGATCTTGAGCTGCGTAGGAAAATAACAGACAATTTGGAAACATTGCTGAATTAAAAAAATGTATCCAAGATGAGCAATGAACAATGGGAGCAATTACAACAAAAAAAGTACTACATATTATAAAAACTCTAGACATCTTTGCCAACGAGAACGATGGCTGTTATTAAATGCAGAGGAGCCACAAAATTGCTAGACATAATTTTTAACTCAATGTCTATACATTCTATCATTTGATCGCATTATATTTCCATAAAAATTCTTTATCTTAAAATAGTTTAGACCGGCGAAATTCGATTCCATTTCATTTGCGTGCGTTCATAGCGGTATTTTGCACGTTTGTACAAAAACAACATGTCGGCTGTAATATTAAATAAATACAAATTACGTTCAAAACGAAATATATTTTTGTCCCAGACTGTATACAATTGGCTCGTTGCAAAAGTAATTACGATCTTTTCGTAAGCCGTCTATTTGGAAAACCGTAATTACTTTTGCAGCAACCCGACGTATTCCGAAAATAAATCAACAAATGTACTGGTTTGTGTTGCAAAAGTAATTTCGCTTTTCCAAATAGCTAGCTTACAAAAACGTCGACATCACTATTCGTACAATCGAATAATACGTCAACGTGAGCCGAGGGAAAACCTCCGCTGACGTTCCAAATGCTAAATAAAAAAGAGGAGTAACCGACGGTAAGGTGCGGGGGTGGTATCTGCGGGAAGTCGAGTTTCTTGCACGGAGGAAAAAAATTATTCTTCCGATGACTTTGCTCGCGACTAGCTAGCGGTCCTTCGATAGGGAACAGACAAAAGGACGAAAGAAAAGCCGACGAGGAAGAGAACCGCGAAACTTTCGGTCCCCTACCGATGATATTGGGCGACGGCGAGGGGCGAAACTGGGGCGAACTTTAGATGAGGGAATATCGATATCATCGGCGAGGAGGAGACAGTATTATTCTTCCGTCGAAGATTACGAAACTGGAAGGCACCGGAGAGCAGCAACAGCACGGAAGCCGCGGCGAGGCGAAGGCGGAGACGGAAGCCGCGGCGAGGCAAAGACGAAGGCGAAGACGAGGCGATGGCGAAGGCGAAGACGAAGACGAGGCGAAGACGAAGACGAGGCGAAGAGGCGAAGGCGAAGGCGAAGGGGCGAAGAAGCGAAGAGGCGAAGGCGAAGAGGCGAAGGCGAAGAGGCGAAGGCGAAGAGGCGAAGGCGAAGAGGCGAAGGCGAAGAGGCGAAGGCGAAGAGGCGAAGGCGAAGAGGCGAAGGCGAAGAGGCGAAGGCGAAGAGGCGAAGGCGAAGAGGCGAAGGCGAAGAGGCGAAGGCGAAGAGGCGAAGGCGAAGAGGCGAAGGCGAAGAGGCGAAGGCGAAGAGGCGAAGGCGAAGAGGCGAAGGCGAAGAGGCGAAGGCGAAGAGGCGAAGGCGAAGAGGCGAAGGCGAAGAGGCGAAGGCGAAGAGGCGAAGGCGAAGAGGCGAAGGCGAAGAGGCGAAGGCGAAGAGGCGAAGGCGAAGAGGCGAAGGCGAAGAGGCGAAGGCGAAGAGGCGAAGGCGAAGAGGCGAAGGCGAAGAGGCGAAGGCGAAGAGGCGAAGGCGAAGAGGCGAAGGCGAAGAGGCGAAGGCGAAGAGGCGAAGGCGAAGAGGCGAAGGCGAAGAGGCGAAGGCGAAGAGGCGAAGGCGAAGAGGCGAAGGCGAAGAGGCGAAGGCGAAGAGGCGAAGGCGAAGAGGCGAAGGCGAAGAGGCGAAGGCGAAGAGGCGAAGGCGAAGAGGCGAAGGCGAAGAGGCGAAGGCGAAGAGGCGAAGGCGAAGAGGCGAAGGCGAAGGCGAAGGCGAGGCGAGGCAAAGGCGAGGCGAGGCGAAGCGATTCCCGCGTGATTTCACGGGAACGATAGCCATAGTCGCGGTGGTTTTTGCGAATCGTCATTAGGTTTACGAGCCTGCCGGCAGATTTACTCGGGTCAGCCGGTAATAGGCCGCGGAAGAAGGTGACGATAAATTTCGTATTCTAGTATTCTGTCAGTCATATTCTGTAATTTAATGCGCGTTTTGCGAGGGGCATCTGTTTATACACTCCCTGCGACGTGTCCCCGGAGCCAATCATATTTTCATGGCGGGAAAGTAAGTACGCGTCGTTACCGTACTTTCTCGGTCGCTTGTTCTCCACCTTCCATGTAAATTCCACTTTTTTTCCCCCCGCCCCCGCCGAGCCCCTAGCCGGTCGCTTTTGCTCAATGTACCGTATACGGTGAAGCCGCCATTACCCGAACTAATGCCGAGACATAAACGCTCGTCAAAATGAATTCCACGGATAATAATACCGTAACTTTCGCCGCCGGTTCGAAAGCACGGCCCGGTCGGAATTAAACGATAAAAGTCCGCGTAAAAGCTCGCCGAGTGAAAGTATGCTCTCTCTCTCTCTCTCTGTTGAGTCGCGATCCGTCTTCGAACTCGACCCGTCGCAAAAACGGTACCCGCTGCCTAACGGACCGTCCCGAGGTCCTCGAGTCCAAGAACGAACTTTGGACAGAGGTGAACTAACGCGCGTTCAGGGTCGACGCTTTACTCGCGGAAACGAACAGGTCGGATCTGTGGTGGAAGAAGCTAAACGTTCGCTGTTGCGCGTTGTTCGCAGTTCATGTTTACCGTTTATCATTTATAGATCGTAATCGCCCCTTTGGAAAACATATTCGCGCTTTCGCGAAACATGTTGAAATTTTTGTTAAGTCGCATGAACACATTTTGCTATAATTATCTTTATCTCATTTATTTATCTTTTTGGAAAATATGTTCAATATATTCACCTTATTGTGAATTATGTTCAGCTTTTTGTGAATTGTGTTTGTCTTTTTGTAAAACATATTCACCTGATTATAAATTGAAAATTATATTTACCTTTTTGTCAATTATATTCACTTTTTTTGTAAACTGTATTTACCTTTCTGCGAATCATTATTCACCTTTTGTAAATGAAATTTATTTAAATCGCCTTTATTTAAATCGCCTTTAGTTAAATCATTCACCCTCTTGCAGCTCAGATCCACCCTTATCCAGATCAAATTTCCAGTAGTATACAACCGAGACCAATTTAGAAATTATTCTTTAGTGAAAAAATTGAATTGCTGCAGAAAAACCATTGCAGACTAAGCAATGTATGCTATTAAAGAAGTATTTTATCTTGACTGTTACATGCAATAAAATATTGAATTTCTGGGCAATAAATTTACACTGGATTTTGTTTCGATTACAGTGATCTGAGGAAACAACGTAAGAAAATTTGACTTGCAAAAGGGTGAATTGGAGGGGGCTCTAACGAGATCAACAAATCAATTGTGTTTCAATCAATTATAGTGATTATTAGATTCCGGATTTTGTTTATTTCGGATAATGAAGTCGATTATTGTGAGACGACCAATCGCTGTGACTCTGAACTCAATATTCATCGAATAAGACATTTAATTTTAGACATTTAAATAAAAATATAATATGTCTTATGCCAAAAAAAGCCAAAGGCGCAACAATTAGTCACCCCACAGTAACAGACAACCCTATAGCAAAAATGGAAAACTGAAACACAGAACAGTGGAAAAATAAACATTTTAACACTAGGTTTACGGAACCAGTAGATTTGATGGATCGCTAATTTTTCAATTTCCGATTATTTAGATTGTGTAAAGATACACTTATGTTTTGTTTATTAAATATTATGCGTTACCTGCGGCAAATACAGTGGAACCTCGATTATCCGAGCCAAAGCGAGTAACATAAATGTACAGATAATAGAACAGTTATTACAATAAATTACAGTGCCAGATGTCAACTTTATTAATTTATACAATAAATCGTTTCACGCATGAATTACCTCAGAGTGACCTGAGCACACGAGAACAATATTTGCATAACAGATGATTCTGATATTAAAAGACCGGATAATCGAGGTTCCACTGTATTACAATAACACTCGTTCGGAATCGGAACAAATGTCTCATCGTTATTTCTGTAAACCAGTAGAAAACAGCTGTTTCAAGTGCTGCGTAAATCTAGCGTTAAAAAATAAAATTCATATGAAACTTCATTCATCTAACTTCCTCCATCCTGACCGCTTTCGTAACAGTCGCCAGACCCGTCAGAGCCCACCGCTGGAAATCGCCGCTCTTATTATTTCACAGCGGTCAGCTAAAAAGCTGAACAGCCGATCGGACGAGCAGTAATAAATATTCCGTTTGATCCGGCCGAGCATCGTCCGACGTGGACGGAGCGCGCTCGATAAATCGATAGAATGAAACGGGGGAAAAAAATGCAAAGTTGTCATTCACCTTTACACGTAGATCACTGACAGTCCACACCCGGCTGGCGTAATCGTTCGATGCCCCAAGGATCAGCGTCCCCGTTGAATCGAAATCGACAGACATCACTCCGGCGTTGCTGCCGACCAGGATGCCTTTGCTCTCCGACGTACCTGGAAACGGAATATTTCGGATCAAACGAAGCGCGCGATGAACGGAAACAAAAGGAAAACAGGAAGACTATTATCGGTCACAATACACGGATCGCTCGGTCCCTCGACCGTCGGCGTCGCGTCGCGTCGCGTCGCATCGCAGTCGCGTCGATAAAATGCGCCTCGAGCTTCGCAATTTTTCGCCGGGTTGTCGGAGCAAATTAAATTTCATTTAGCTTAACGCGAAATGTCAACGAACGTCGGCCGCTCGATAGGACGAAGAGCCGAGGAGAAGAGAAGGCAAATAGATTTCGAAAAGGGGTTGGGGAGGGTGAGACAAGCTGCAGCCCGTGTCGAGAAAAGGGTGGATCCGGGGGCGGGTGGGAAGACACGGGAAGGGCAAGTTAAGCGGATATAACCGGTACAATAAGGACGGATGTTTCATCCAATTTGCAGCGTGGCGAGGGGGATTACATTCGGGGACGTTATAACACACGCGATCGTTTCGCAGTGTGCCAGGTCGGAGAACGTTTCTGCCGGGGCGGCCAGGGCTTTTAATAGGCGGCTCTATGCTCGCCTATATACGATAGCGAGCGCGAATTCCGCCCAAGTAACCTGTTGATTCGTTAACATACTTCATTAAAGCGGCCGGTGGGGAAAAGCGCCGCGTCGCGAGACGTCACGGCACGACGCGTGCACGCCTTCGCTGATGCGACTGCTAAATGACCCCGAGGTCGCAACCTCTCTTATACCTTGCCGGACAGGTACACAATAACGCCCGCAATCGATTGAACGCGTCGCTGCACAGCAGTCCGTGCGGTAGTCGAAGCAGTGATCTCTGATTCAAATTATTTTAATGTCATTACAAGGGTTAAGCACACGGTATAGCAGGTCATTGAATTCGTCTCGGCACCAGCTACAATGTTACGAAGTCGAAGATATATATTGGCGACCAAAATATCGAAGTGACTTTAATTATTTGCAACAAAAACTTTTGACTCTGAAATTTTATACATTGAAATTTGTAGAACGATGAATACCGATGAACTCTTGTTGGAAACATTTTGTTGCCAGATCATTGGAAATGTGTGGAAAATCGTTGGGAAGTTTCAGTCCGACCGCAGTCGCATTGGACGATTAAAGTCCGCCCAGAATTCACATTTGCAGGTATTTGCGCTTAAAAGTTACGTTCACATGTTAACGATAGCGCGAGCTTTCGTGTAAATAGAGTCCGATGTCCTGTCACTTTTAATCAATTTTTTTATAAGCTTTCGCAAAGTTCAAGTTGGTAAACAATTAATACTTTTTCCTGATGAATTAAACCATTATTATGGAATGCATGAATAACTGAAATGTAGTTGTTTACATGCAGAAAAACGTATTACACACTTTGCTATAAGCTAATATGCTGAAAGGAATAATATTATAACGAATATATAATTATTATAATACATATATTTAATATTATGTATATAATATTATACTATATCTAGTTATTATTATATATATTATGACAATTACATATTCTCATTATTATATATATAATAATTATTATATTATAATATTATAATATATCATAATATATTATATATATTATAATATATTATAATATGTTATAATAATATTATTATATATATAATAATTAGAATATGTAATTGTCATAATATATATAATAATAACTAGAATATATAAGAATTATAAGGAATAGTTTTAATTTCGATTTGAAGATTTTCTCCGAGACTCATAGAATTATCCGAAAGAACTAATACTATGGATTTTGAAACATCGAAGGAAGAACAAATTTTTTTTCAATATGAAATTTGAAAAATTGACTATTGGCCATAAATTACCGCTTCGCGGACTACTGTGCGCCGAAATCGACGCGACGCTCGCCGATTACGTCGCGACCCAATCATTCGGCAACGCGATCGTGGCGGATCGTTTAAATCTAATCAATTAAATAAAACTTTTTGAAATTATTATATATATATAAGAATAATTTTTAAGGGCAAGAATTGATTTCCTACGGCGCGCCGCGGCATCGTTTCCCAGTATAAATCCTTCTTTTCGTCCCCCGGAACAGAACCAGATGTCTAGCCGGCGTATTTGTATTCATGAACGGTGGAGGATGCTAACAAAGTTTTAATTACTTCATTATGGGAAGTTTTAATGAAGTTTCAAACTGACTTTCATATCACTTTATTGCCGAGCCCGGGGCCCCGCTAAACGCAACAAAATGATTATCCATTGAATTATCTCGAGCAAACATTGCGCCTTCGTGGATCGACGATCGTGGGACCGGCGTGTTCCCACCCTCTCAAGTTCCTCAGGGATTCGCCCGTTTTCAACTCTGAGATCCCGTGGGGAACGTTACGTTCCCTTCTGTGTAACTCGTCAAACGCATTTTTTCTCAAATTAGGTATAGATGGACAAGCGCGGATTTTATACAGTCTCGAGGAAAATGGCTCGCCGAATACGAAGCTGCAGAGACGTTGAATGAATTCGAGAACATTTTTACATTATAATTAGAATGCGAATTTTATATATTTATGAGAAAAATGTGTGTAGGTGGAACACAAAACAGTGGAATAATTATTGAGACTTTAAGACCGCTGTTGCATTATTTTCAACCTATTGGATGCATTAAAAAAGATAACAAACTACTATTGTGCTGTAGTTGTCCCGTTTTGAATTTTCTGATTATCAGGTTTTACAAAATTTTGATCATTTCTACGCGAAATTTCGGCAAACCACGTCAAACGGGTTTGATATTTTTCGCTAGGTTGAGAGGAAACATATTTTTAACGAACTTGCGATTCTTATAATTTAACTTAAACAATTTTAGTTTGTCATAAATTTCATTTTTCTTCTGAAATTCTATAAAACCTTTGGTATTTCTCTGTTGAATTTGGAAGACGCGTTTCTCAAAAATGTGTTGCTGTAAATAATACAAAATGGGAGATACATTGACCTTTTTTCCTAAAACGTGGTATTCATTTCCATCTACCTTGTAGCACGTATACCTTCAAACCGTGTTTTTACAAATGAAACACACAATAGAAGATTCACCGATTTTCTTCCCCGATACAAGAACTAAAATCGGCCAGTTTGTATTGCCTTCGAATATCAACAAGTCTCCATTTGTCAAGACACAGCACGATTTTTATTGGAAAATACGTCTAAAATGCATCACGTTTGATCATTCTAGTGTTCCAAATATTGTAAAACGTTTGAATTCTCTCTATTCAACGCGTAAGTCTTGTCTATCTCGCGTTTCTTCCAAATGTGTCGCTAATAAAATAAACTACCGAAACATAACTTGTCAATTTAAAATTTAAATAGAAAATAGATCTTTCATAATACAATCTTACAGGCACGTATGATCGTCCTCGGAGACATGCGAGTTCGATCGAGAGTATCGATCAAAATGGCCGGTTTCACAATTGTTCTTTTAAAATCGTTGAAATTACCAAGATATTTCCGCGAGAAATCGATGAATAAATTTTCTAATTCAATCGCACGTTATAATGATCGAATAGTCCGAGTAAATTGATTCTTGTACAGTAAATTCTCCCCAATTGTCCCTCAGCTTGTAAATCAAAATGGACAACTTGGGAAGAGGGGATACGATTATTATTTATTTATTTTACTATTAATTTACTATATAATAAATTCTCTCTAATTGACGCTCAGCTTGGAAACAAGAATGGACCATTTGGAAAGAGGAGGTACAATTTTTCCAGTCTTGCGGCTCGTTTTTATAGTTGTTGATAATCGATAACTATAAAAGCGAGCCGCAAGGCTCGAGTAATCGTATCTCCTCTTCCCAATTTGTCCATTTTTGTGTACAAGCTGAGCGCCAATTAGGAAGGATTTACATTTAAATACATTTGAGCCGTTTATTTTGAAAGTGGCCTAAGTCACTTCGTTTTTAAGTCGATATATTTAAGGGTATGCGTTTTAACACCGTTTAAAAATATGGATGCTAACTTACTTGTATTTGTTATCTCAGGATACTGATATTTTATTCTCAGTATAAATAATTTCGTATAAACATTAAAAAATCACCACTTTTCATTACGGTCAAGTGACTTGTGCCACTTTCAAAATAAACGGCTCATTTAGCGATCGGTAGGTTCGTCGTCAAGGTGTTCGCGTCGGTGAGGAATCGTGACGTAGGGAAAGAGACGCGTCTGATAATTGACTGATTCAATTGCAGCTGATTACGGATATTAATATAACAACGCCGTCGCTACATAGATTACGAACTCGAGTGATCCCGGCGAGAAATGCGACTCTCGCATAATAGGGGTCGTTCGAGGTCTCGTTGATTAATTACGCGTTCGCCAGACGCGGCGCAGAGCCGCGCGTAAACCGGAGTTCTCTGCCGCGATTCTAGGTCAGTATACCGACGATACGAATTTCTTTAATTAATTAATCACCTTTTGAGATGGTCCAGAGCTTCACCTTCCTGTCGGCTCCACCGGTGGCGAGGATCCTGTCGACGGGAGACCACTTTACGGCGTAAACTTCCCCGTCGTGTGCGTTCTGCAAGGGTTATTAAACGCTTGACGTATAAAACTTTGAAAAAAACTCGTGCATGCAGGAAGCAACGGTTAATGTATCAAGCGTATCGAATTAAAATTCCTCCCCCCCGGGAAGCTTCCGGCCGCGGTCGGGAATTAAGAATCCAAGCGAGTCACGCCCCTCGCGATGCAAGCACCCCTTCGCCGAGATCGAGGCTTTCGTTTTCCTCGATCGTCGCGCGATTGATCCGCTCGGCTCGTAGCTGCGTTATCTACCAACAAACGTTTTGTGTCCGGATACGCCGGAGATTTAAGAACGCGATGAAAAATGCTCTCCGCGAGCACTTTACGAGCTAATGGGAGCGAAGAAATGGCCCCGATAACGGGAGCGCGAGGTATACGCGTGTGCCCGTGGTTATGATCGTTAACAGAAAACGCGCACGATTTTAAATGTTACGATAAATTTATACTGCCTAGAGTTCTCCTACGTGAAGCATATATCGACCGCGTCGAGGGGTAATGTACACTACGCTGAATACTTTAATGATGCAAATATTTTCCTCTTCGCAAAACATTAACTACTGATACTGTGTGCGTGTGCGTGCGTGCCTGTACGTGTGTGCCGTGGATCGTCTGCGTTCTGGTCGAACTAAATATTTTACGCGGCCAAAGGATTTAAAAGCTTGCACAACCGACCGTCGAGCCGGCGGTACAACGAGAACCGAGGAGCTTCTACGTGAAAAAATACGTGGAAAATTTAGAACGAAATTTTTTTCATAAGAGGCTTTATTTTCGAGTAAATCCACGATGGAACTTTGTGGGGACACCGGTGCTGTAAACCGTCCCGCGTGGCTCGTGTGTGTGTTTTTTTTCCCAATAACGACCGGTCTCGCTCGAATTCGAATGAAAAAGAATAAACAGGCCGCGTTCGAATGTATATTCGGTTATATTCGGTTTGCCACGATGTTTTAATGTCAATTAGGTGATCGATTGATAAATTAATGATCGAGTAAACGATCGATTCTCCTGTTTCGAAAACAAAGCCCCGTATGAACAAATTTCATTCCACATTTCCAACGGTGTTATCTTTCTCACGCGAATGTTCAGTTTTCGGATTGTAGCAGCGACTTGGTAAAATACCGCGAATACCCTTTTGCGGGCTCCGCGGGCTCTAATAGAAGAGTACATTAAGGAGACATGCATACTATCGACTGCTCAAAAAATACGGCGAAAGAGAATATACAATATTTCTGAAAAATGTATTTCAATGCTTATAATAGTTTCTCTTTAGACTTCGAGTAACTTGAGAACTCAAAATAACTGCGACTAAACTTTTTATGTCTATATATAGTATATATATGTATATATATGTATAAATAGGTATTAATACATCGATATAATCGTAAACACCAAACAAGCATACTTAAGTTAAAGTGGCACTTAAATAGTATATTAAATGTTACAAGTAATAAGTGGTCTCTTAATCGTAGTCTGTTAGAGAGCATAATGATAGATCATCTGATTGATGCGATACTAAACGGCAGTTCAGTACAATGACGAGTACGCTAATACTCGAGGTGCTCTGAGAAGAACTGTACTATAATCCCATGAAACAACCTAACATTATAAATACGAGACATTAACATTAAACCAAAAAGACACGTGTCCTGGATGGGAATGCTTTAATACAACAAATACAATCTTTACTAACAAGCTACATTGATGTCCATGAAAAATACTGATATATCGTCCAAAAAACGTATCAACAAGATCGTATATACTTTGTATAGATTATATATACATTTTTATAGTACTCTCGCGTATAACTTTTAACGTATACTTTCGTTACTCTGTGTGATTTCATAAAATATCTATAACACGTCAGTCGATCTAATCTTTTTAATCAGTAATGTCGCACGTTCGTTCCGAATCCGCGTGTAACAACGCTAATTAACATATACGATTCAATAAACAACGATAGAAAAAGACGTCTTTCAGTACCATGTACCGCCATGATCCGAACATAAGCAAAACAATTTTCTCTCCATCCTGTGAAAAAAGCTTAATTGACTGCAGTCCGTAGGAACAACAATTTCCTCTCAACTGTACTCTCCTTGTACATAGAAAAATAAATACGTATGAAAATTTTAACTCCTACATAAATCACTCCTTATGTAAATTAGGTTTTTATCGTACAGCTATCGTAGTTCCTAGCGATTTTACTTTCACTGGGATTACTCCCTAGAAATTAATCATACTAGAACGAAAAGGCAGAGAGAGAAAGAAAGAGAGAGAGAAACAGAGAGATAGAGAGAGATAAAGGGAAAGAGACTCGTATCGATCGATCGATTCCACGATACAAGATCAATCAATCGTCACGCATCGCGCACGATAATGTTCTTACAAAACATGCAGCTCCGTGTTACAACAAATTAATGGACCGTTTGTACCAGAACCATTACGACGGTTGCGATAACGTATATGCATGTAGGTATACGTCTATATGTATAAATAGTATGTATAAAATATGTCATAAATTAAAAGTTTGTCAACGTACAAACGTAGCGGACACTTTTGTTGGTACAGCGGTAGGAAGACCAGCGATTCCTTCTTTTAAACTCGATCGATCAGGGCTAACAGGTCGAGTGTCGCGGGCTGCGTCCTCCAACTCCTTCTGCACCTTCGCCTGCCTCTTTCTGAAAAACGAACAGACACGCGGCCAATTAGTCACGGGAAATCGTGGACGACGTTTACAGGATACGTCGCGCTATAAATACCCCATGTACAACGTCGAAAACACCGTGTGTCTGTGAACGAATCATCCGATTGTTATGCTTCATGCAATTGAAAACTATTAGTCGGGACCGCCTTCTTAGCTGCTGTTACTCATTAATTGTTTATTTATTATGATGACGGCACTGCGTTGTTATTAGCCGTATATTTATCCGACTGCTTGACAATCGTTATATTTTAATATCGTTAATATTCGAATGTGAACAGCGTATTAAGTGGAACAGCTCGAAACTTCGGTGATCGGTAGTAATCATCAAAGTGAATGGAAAATGTCGATCGAGTATCTTCGGAGGCTATTATTGTTCAATTATATCTATTTTATTATTTAGTAATTGAAATTAAATTCAAAGTCAATCCCTCCTCCCAAAAATAGTATCTTTAATCCTCCAGGACGCGACGACTAGATTTGCTATGATTTCTCTTAGTATTTAATAAATATAGAAAAGTCACAGTTATTTATTTGGAGAACTATCTACTAATTGATCTTTCGACAATCTCTTGAAATTATTCATATCAGCTCAAATTAATGAATACTGCTCGCACTGAAGAGCTCGAACCTTTGCCTTGAACACACTGTGTGCGTTTAATGGTAAGCACAAACTGCCATTTAAGCATTTTGCAGTTTGAAGAAACATTAATACGGTCGTTATTTCTAACGAGATATGTGCCATGTAGCTGTACACCGAACGTAAACAAATGATACGTGTAAGTACACGGTCATGTTCGTTTAGCAAACCGCTCGAAGCTGCAAAATGATGCGTGAAGCGTAGCTTGTTTTTATCACGTCTTTTGTTAAGACTTACCCGAACTTTGACAAGGTATGCATCAAAAAGGCTGTTGGACTGGAAAAACTCTCACTGAAACGAAAATGTCAAGCAGTGTGATGTGCTAGTGCAGGAAAACTCTACAGCAACGGAATCTCGCGTCTCCACTTTATCTTTATCTCTGCGGAAACCTCAATATTTCATGAACTGTATTGCCGAATGTGTTTGGGAGTATATTGTCTGAGTAATTATTATTGATGTGTGTCGCATCTAAACACTTCTACCAAGCATTGAATATTTAGACGTTTAGTTTTATGTAAAAATGAACGGCTAGTGACAGTGAATCATGTGATCGTGAATCTTTTAATGTCTCAAGTATGAAACTTGCTATGTGACGCACAATTAAACTCAAGAAATCACTCTATTAAATGTCCACACAAAATTTTAAAAATATCCTTATATACATTGCTAAAATATTATCAGTTGTAATATACAAGTTAATGTAAATTAAACGGTAAATAAATTACTTTTAATTAATGTATCAGTAAATCGGATTAGTAACAAGGAAATGTTATGAAAATTTGAAAATCGTTTCGCAATAACATATAATTACAGTTTAGTGCGAAATATTTTACTACAGTGAGGTACGAATTGCACGTTTTGTTAAAATATTGTTAACGAAATCTTAGTTTTGTTAAGAGTTTTTTCTTTAACCAGTACAAGTAATATTATTTCTTTGACACCTGGATCTAAATGCATGCAATATATGTATATACAAAAATATTTATATTTTAATTTTTAGGAAACTCAATTTAAATTTTGCGCAGTACTGTGACTACAATTTTTGTAACGAGTCTATTTAAAAAATGTAACGCATCTACATAAATATTCTCTTTATCAACTGCTTATCAACCTCATAATGA